TACAGAGCTTTGTGAGTTGAGAAACATTGTACAAAATATTCCGTTTGTCGGTAAGAAAATTCGAGCAAATTCTGACCAAACAATCTGTTTATGCTCACAACGAGATGCAATCATCTTTCTCATAGATTCTGAATTTTGTCATCAATAATGCTGTCAATGGGCATCTCACTGATGAGTGTCATTTATCTTTGTGTATTTTATCCGAACCTCAACTACAAACTAATATCATACCCGAACAAATGCTAATGAGAATTTTCTTCCTTCTAACCATATCGCTGTTGTCAGGATCTCCCCAGTTGGGAAATTCTGAAAATTCCATTGTCAATAAAATTTCACTTTTAGGGTTGGAGAAACGTGTATTTAAGTGAAATCCTGTAACGATCACTATAGGTACTGTGACTACTATTGTGTGGAAGCATACATATTACTCATCAAATTTAGAAGTATATCATCAGTCTTGCGATGATTAATCAGATTAAGTCATACTTACTGATCACAGTGAAGTGAAACAAGCTATCCAAAGTATGTGGTTGCGTTCTTTGTCCTATTGTATATTGGCACGAATTGGACTGTCTATCTAAGATGCGAATGGGTGGTGTTTTTAGAGCTGAGTGATTTTGGTGATATCCAAGCTCGTGAGTTCGCATGAGCAATATGTCATTCTGAACGCCTTAGGTGTTTCATCCTTTTGTGCCGTAAACAGGACAGAATAGCTCTAGTGTGGGTGCTTTCTGGGCCTCCTGGAGGACTTGGAGATCACAGCCGATCTTTCTGGGATTATTCCGTTCAGTATCACAATTAGTTCGGGGTGATATGGAGTCGTTCTTACCTTTCAGATTCCCAGCTTCTTCCGATAGTCTGAAAAACATTCGCTTGCGCAGCATGAGCCCGAGTTGACGATGATCTATTGGACGTTGTGTGACTCGCTACATGAGTTTGAAAAGCTAGCATATTTCTCCATAAAGATTTAATAAACTTTGACGTGGAAATTCAACTCGCCTTATGGAGAAACTCTTTCGGACTGGTTGAGCACAGATTCGTTACTATCTACAACTAAACTGAAATCATCAATTTCATCAAAAGTACAAAATGGCCATCGTAGTGTTTTTACAGACTGTGAATGCCCAGGTAACTCGCACCGAATCATAAGTATTAATAAAACTCCAGTCGAAGTATTAGCACATATTCTGTAAGTAGTAGAAGTATTAGTGTTAGTTTCAGTACATACATTCCTGTAATATTATTAGTATTATTGGCTGTAGTAACATCGAGGAAGTGGTGGTAACGACAATATTTGTGTATTATCAATTTTAGACTCAGTAGCTAGGCAGTAGTAGGAGAAGAAGCGGTGGAAGTACTACTATTAGTAAGAGTATTATTATTAGTAGTAGTAGCAGTAGTAGTATAATTGGTAGTAATATTTAACTATGCACAAAGAGGTTACAGATAATGTTTGGATTTTTCGCACACAAATGAAGTGGCTTCGAACAAAAATCAATTGCCCAAATTTCACACCTACCTGTAGAGTAAGAGAGAGAAGAATGGAGGGAGTGATATATACAGAGGACGGCTCTCGGTATTCCTGCGGTAAGCATTTTGAGAATTGTGATCAAAATGTGGAACAGTTGTGCATTCCCCTTTCGTGATGGGAAAATCCAATCCCGTAGGACAGAGACGAAGGTGATGATGTGAAAGTGTGTTAAAAAGCTGATAAATGTAGGAAAAAATCAATAAATGAGTGTGTGAGTCTCTCAAAAACTTCATGCTCAATCAAGCCGAAAATTGGTTAGCTTTTCAAAGCCCTTGCTGATTCCATCGATTGATCTTCAATCCAGTTCTGTCAGACTGCCCACAAAAATTGTTCGGCTGACAACCTAGTGCCTCATATGACGTTTGGGCTTATTGAATATTGGCGATCGACCCGGCTTGACACACTGAAAGCGATTAGTAAGCTGGCTACTTGGAGGTAGTCGCGACTCTATGACATAATATACAATAATGAAGTGCAAAATCATTGAATCCCTTGTACCCATGGATCCCACAGATATTGGTCACTCGATCTGACTTGGTTCCCAATATGATTACAGTCGATTAAAAACCGTGAGGACAGATAGGATAAATTTATGAACGGTAAAGCGATAGCAAACAGAACTACGGAGGCTTGGCCAGCACCTTTCAAAGGACCATCGGAGTAGTTGGAAGTGGTACTGAATGTAAATATGAACAGATTTCAAGCAGAACGTACTATTATTTGTGATCAAACAGCAGCCTTTGTCTGAAAGTAGAAGCGATTTACTGCCAAATACGTGCACAGCACGGGATTCAATGATTTTGCACTTCATTATTGTATATTATGTCATAGAGTCGCGACTACCTCCAAGTAGCCAGCTTACTAATCGCTTTCAGTGTGTCAAGCCGGGTCGATCGCCAATATTCAATAAGCCCAAACGTCATATGAGGCACTAGGTTGTCAGCCGAACAATTTTTGTGGGCAGTCTGACAGAACTGGATTGAAGATCAATCGATGGAATCAGCAAGGGCTTTGAAAAGCTAACCAATTTTCGGCTTGATTGAGCATGAAGTTTTTGAGAGACTCACACACTCATTTATTGATTTTTTCCTACATTTATCAGCTTTTTAACACACTTTCACATCATCACCTTCGTCTCTGTCCTACGGGATTGGATTTTCCCATCACGAAAGGGGAATGCACAACTGTTCCACATTTTGATCACAATTCTCAAAATGCTTACCGCAGGAATACCGAGAGCCGTCCTCTGTATATATCACTCCCTCCATTCTTCTCTCTCTTACTCTACAGGTAGGTGTGAAATTTGGGCAATTGATTTTTGTTCGAAGCCACTTCATTTGTGTGCGAAAAATCCAAACATTATCTGTAACCTCTTTGTGCATAGTTAAATATTACTACCAATTATACTACTACTGCTACTACTACTAATAATAATACTCTTACTAATAGTAGTACTTCCACCGCTTCTTCTCCTACTACTGCCTAGCTACTGAGTCTAAAATTGATAATACACAAATATTGTCGTTACCACCACTTCCTCGATGTTACTACAGCCAATAATACTAATAATATTACAGGAATGTATGTACTGAAACTAACACTAATACTTCTACTACTTACAGAATATGTGCTAATACTTCGACTGGAGTTTTATTAATACTTATGATTCGGTGCGAGTTACCTGGGCATTCACAGTCTGTAAAAACACTACGATGGCCATTTTGTACTTTTGATGAAATTGATGATTTCAGTTTAGTTGTAGATAGTAACGAATCTGTGCTCAACCAGTCCGAAAGAGTTTCTCCATAAGGCGAGTTGAATTTCCACGTCAAAGTTTATTAAATCTTTATGGAGAAATATGCTAGCTTTTCAAACTCATGTAGCGAGTCACACAACGTCCAATAGATCATCGTCAACTCGGGCTCATGCTGCGCAAGCGAATGTTTTTCAGACTATCGGAAGAAGCTGGGAATCTGAAAGGTAAGAACGACTCCATATCACCCCGAACTAATTGTGATACTGAACGGAATAATCCCAGAAAGATCGGCTGTGATCTCCAAGTCCTCCAGGAGGCCCAGAAAGCACCCACACTAGAGCTATTCTGTCCTGTTTACGGCACAAAAGGATGAAACACCTAAGGCGTTCAGAATGACATATTGCTCATGCGAACTCACGAGCTTGGATATCACCAAAATCACTCAGCTCTAAAAACACCACCCATTCGCATCTTAGATAGACAGTCCAATTCGTGCCAATATACAATAGGACAAAGAACGCAACCACATACTTTGGATAGCTTGTTTCACTTCACTGTGATCAGTAAGTATGACTTAATCTGATTAATCATCGCAAGACTGATGATATACTTCTAAATTTGATGAGTAATATGTATGCTTCCACACAATAGTAGTCACAGTACCTATAGTGATCGTTACAGGATTTCACTTAAATACACGTTTCTCCAACCCTAAAAGTGAAATTTTATTGACAATGGAATTTTCAGAATTTCCCAACTGGGGAGATCCTGACAACAGCGATATGGTTAGAAGGAAGAAAATTCTCATTAGCATTTGTTCGGGTATGATATTAGTTTGTAGTTGAGGTTCGGATAAAATACACAAAGATAAATGACACTCATCAGTGAGATGCCCATTGACAGCATTATTGATGACAAAATTCAGAATCTATGAGAAAGATGATTGCATCTCGTTGTGAGCATAAACAGATTGTTTGGTCAGAATTTGCTCGAATTTTCTTACCGACAAACGGAATATTTTGTACAATGTTTCTCAACTCACAAAGCTCTGTATTGAGAAGTGGGGTGAGAGCTGATTTTTGTCACGCATAGTCCGTTTGACTGAGAAAAGCATAGGTCATGTGTTCAGTGTGTGTTGTGATGGGAATGGTCTCACTAGCTGGGATCGCCTTGTGGTGAATTGTTCTCCTGTGTTTGATACACATTTTTGTAAACTGGATCACTATTTCCAAATGAGCAAATATAGACGCGGTGCATACAATTTCATTTCAACCTAATTTTCTCATGCCATGCACACAATGAACGCAACAACGAAAACAGTTTAGAGCAAAGATCTATCTTAAACTAGTAACACCGTAAGTTCAGATCTTCCACACACGAAAAAGAAAGGTACTAAAAAGTAGCCTTACCAACTGATCAATGACCTATTTGTCAATACTTTCCTCATACACACGCACGTACAGAAACACGGAGTGAGAAAGTGATGGAACAAGATAAGTAATATAAGGAACCGTGTTGAGAGTTCGAGTGGAATTTGATGTGTCAAGTGCTATCAAAATGCGGCACACGTGGCTTCAATGGATCTGTTTAATTTGTTCTTCCATGCTTCTCCTCAAATTCAGCATCGTCACTGCAGAAGGCTCCCGATGGCCGCGAGAAGACGACATTTTGAACACACTCATGATATCATGGCACAATGAAGCTAGACGAAGGATGTCAGAATGTCTCGTACCTGGACAACCGGCATCCGAGAGACTTCCACAATTGGTATGTCATTTTATTCCACAGCAGAAGTATTGTTTGCTCATTTGATCTCGCTACCATCTGTGCTTCAAGTCTTCCATTCGCCGACAATGTTTAGTTGAAAATCATTCTGGCTCTTGATCGTCTGATTTTGATGACAATTCCATTTGGAATCACGAGCTGGAGTTCTTTTGTTCGTGCATGTTGTCTCTGAACTAGCACATTCAAGTAAAATAACTTACCCGTGTAAGTGTGTTCATAGCAACTTTTTTGGAGCCCACCAAATTCAAAGTTGAGATTCACTGTATATCAGTGATGCTTTTGGTATCTATATAGTGTGCTCAAACTGGCCGTCGATGACCAAGACAAGGCCTGGGCTTTGACTAGCCAGAAGGTGGACTGTATAGATGATTTGCAGTTTCCGGGATATGAAGCTGTAAATGTTATGAACACAATATGTTAGCTACGCAAGCTGACCTCATTGACCCGTGCAGGGCAATCATGTGGTTAGGATAGTTCGAATAGGGGATATTTTCGGTCACGTGACCTATTGCTGGTCCGCGACGAATCCAACCGAGGCACCGTTTCAAAATGTAATCAGTCCGGAGTCTGATGTAACGTCCAATTTAGTTGACATGACAGAAGCAAGCAAAACAATGAACCAGGGGCCTGTTCTTTTCTGGAACGAGAAAGCTTATCTAGGGTACAGCTAATTGATGCATAAGTGGCATGGCAAACACTGTAGAGTGTCAGTTGGGAAACCCCAATTTTGGGGTATCTCCTATACTGTTGCAAACTTTTCGTTGATTGCTCGGGCCAAACATATTATTGGAATTCTGTCGATAATAGAACAAGCTGTACTGGAGCGAAGCTATGGCACACAGTGCTGTTTGCTGTCCAATGCGTGTTGCCGTTCTGTGAATACTATAACGGAGTAACCCATAGGAACGGTGAGACAGAAGTACATCTAGAAGTGCACGGCCACATGAGTGAGTATAAATAGGTCAACGGTCGCCCATTATTCACACAAGAAATGTCTGCAATTAGGCCGGTCAAATCATCCACATTGGTTCACTGAAACTGCCTTGACCTTATGCAATAAAACTGATCGCATGATATACCTGACTGGTGTTAACGAAAGGAGTAAATATCCCGTTCACAAGGATATCACTACACCAATCCGTATCCCAGTTAGATAATGAGTAATTCTGGTTATGTGTCTGTGAAATTTGTCAGCAGTATCGCGCCAAACGATTTTGTTTTCAAATGCTCTTGCTTCACATATAAACCGACCAGTTCCCTATGTTGATGAGTGAGTACAGACTACTGGTAAGTAGGACTCATGCCTAATTTTACTGCATATATCTCGTTTTAGTGTCTCTGGGTTTGTGCGTCCATGTTTGTGCCAATCTTTATTTCAAGATGGCCGTTGTTCATTGCGAGAGGAGGATAATTTCCAGATTGTCTGATTAGCTCGTTGTTAGTTGTCAATTACATTGCCGACCACGTTTCTGTTCTTAAAAGGTATATGATCAGCAGTTGGCGGAACAGGCGCAACGATGGGCAAATAATTGCACAATCAATCATGATAAGCCGAGTGATAGAAAACACCCGAAGTGGAAATATGTTGGGCAAAATTGGGCAGCCGATCATTCGTACGAAAGGTGAGAATGTGACCAAACGCTTCCAATGCTCAATGGGATTTTGATCTGTATGTTTGTATTCTCGATACTTTCCATCAAATTCGAGTGTCAGGTCAAACATTTCCATCGCACACAACATTCCCCTCTGTTTGTTGTAACAAACTCACCGTGTCCAACTTGTTATTACTATTTTCAAGTTCATTCAATTCATGGTTCGTCGAACATATGAATTACACGTTTGATACAATGGAGTGTGATCCCGGAGTCCAATGTGGCCACTACACTCAGGTGAGTTGAACACTTGACAAACATCATTTTAGAGTCTAATTACCTGGATCTGCACATTTTTGACTACTTCTGACAACGAACATTCGGCGAACGGTTTTGTGTAAAATCAATGATAGACCAACAGTTAGTGTCTTTTCTTATGTTTATTGTCCTTAATATCGATCATTGGATTGATCAAGATGGTCACTTATCGTCATCAATCTGATTACCTTTGATGAGAGGCAGTTTGGAAATTACAGTTGGTAGGAAATCCGTTTTCATTTCTCACTCACATATGTCCACTCCTCGAACTGGATTCAAACCGGCGACCTTCCACCTACAGAGCTATTGCTCCAGAATAGGAGGGAATATGCCGAGAAGAGGACCTTCGACAGATAGGTAGACAGACACTCAGACACTCATCGAAACAGAGAAGAGAAATCTAAGGGAGTGTCACAGATGCATACGATATCATAAAACTCCGAGGTACAACTACACTCAGATAAACAGACTAAAGCTAAATAGATGGACACTCGAACATGTCGAGAGATAGAAAACAGATAGCGAACAGACAGCAGAAAGACGAACAGACAGTGAACAAGTCCCAGTACGAGGTGGACAACAAGTAGATAAAATGATATGTTTGGATCAGAATATTGTGAACTTCCATTGTTCCCATCGTATAGGTGCTCGTGAAAACCGGTATTAGTGCAAGTGGGCAGAATGAGCTAGTAGTTTATACCAGTCGACTGTCAACATCTGAACTAATCAGACTCACCTCTCTTTGCTCGATAAATGTGCTGAATCTGACCAGTTCCACACAAATATCCAACTCAACAGAGGCTGTACCATCGCACTGTTCATCATTCCAGTTTTCGAGGAAATAATCAAACACTCTTTGAATTCCATTTGAAAAATAAATCAATTCACAGCTGATATTCCCTTTGATCTATTATATCTCAGATTGTTTCGGCTAGAACGACACACATTGGATGTGGATCGGCAATGTGCAAAAAATCTGTGAGGTTTCCATGGCGAGTGACTGTCACTTGTAATTACGGGCCAAAGTGAGTGCCATCACATCACAATTAGATTTCAACGAAAAAGTCATGATTGATTGAACGTGGATCATTTCAATGTGTTTTTGTTCTCTGGCCGTAATTCACATCACCGCCGTTATGAGCAACGTGCATATACAGGGCCATCATGTATCCGATGTAAACATTCCCGATAAATCATTCGTTACCTCGAAATGACAATGATCCAGTCCATCAATGAACGAGTGAACAGAATGAGTTTGAAGAGAACCATGTGACTTGGAGAAAGAGTTTTCGTAGTTTGTTTTTTTAATTTGACCATTCAGTGCATCCATTACAAACGAAAATCCAAGTAATCTCGAGTGATAGCACCAAACATTGTGAACGGGATCGTCATTGCAAACTGAAAGACAGGGAGATTTTCCGTGCCAGTAATCATTCGGTTTGATGGGCGCGCTTTGGCTTTGTTTTGACCATGTGTGTTACCAATTATTTAGTCTTTTCTCAATACACTTTGGAAATCCCATTCTCATCACTTTATTTATCTGGTCGACTGTATGGGTGGAATCAGTGCATGCAGAACTGGTTAGTCAGTGTGAGCGATATCGGACCATTGGATACAAATTTGTGGCTCTTCGGCCACGCGATAAACTTCAGCACATACATTCGAGAATACAGATGTGATATGTTTTTGATCCTGAATAAGAAACAAGTGATTTTCATTTACTACACGATGCACAGGTTTTTCAGTAAAACCATTCACAATGTGACTTTTCCCATTCATTTCAGCGGTAACGTGAGAACCATTCATCCATATAAGAAAGCAGGTCCTGCCGTATGTGAAGGAGTCAGGAAACTTGACACACCAATCGCATCCGTTGAGACAAGTACTATTCCTCCGGAAACAGCAGAGGAGAAGGCTCGACGTGTAAAGCGGAAACAAATACGAACTTGCAAATGCTCGGAGAATTAATGGGAACAAACGCGCGCAACATTTCCAATTTTCAGTGCATTATCCAACTTTCATTTCCAACTAGCTTTCCATCTCGATTTTGCCGCACATTTCCCGTTCCTTTTCACAAACATATTGTTCTGTTAATTGGACGTAGACTTCCACCATGCCACTTTAATTTGCAACCTGGAACATTCAAATCTTCACAACTTGTTATTTGATCACAACCTGAGAATTGGGTGTTTTATCAAATGCCATTTTATCAGCATTCTTTTGTCTATCTACCTATCTAACAAGCCTACGCTCGACGACTCATTGATCATTGAATGTGCTGACTATGCAGTGTTTTGTATACCCTACCCTCAGTAAGTCTGCTTTTCCCGAAAATTTCCTCTCCACTTTGTACTGTAATGCAAATCTATGATGAATCGATGCCTAGTAAAACGCGATTCATAGGCCCACGTTTGCTCCATGATCCAAAGTGATTCGAGACTATAAAAGAATGATATTTCCACCTCTGATTTGGGATGGTGAATAAACGGGATGTGTTTCGGGTGATCCCACTTGAACAGAGTTTCGTCTTTTGGTGAAGAGGTCGGAAAATCTCTACACCATCCAACTCGAAACATTTTGGCAAGCTCATTTTTATCCGTGAAGCATCAATTCCGGTATCCAACAAGGCACTTTTCACAACTGGTCCATTAGGGTCTTGCTATTTCCACGGACATGTATCCTCGTACATAAAACAAACTACAGGAAAAGTCTATCAAGATGCACTCAGAAAGCATGTTACAATTTATTGATGTTCTAAATGATGGTAATAACTCTCACAGGACGTTTTCTCACGTGATTTTTGGGAACTGTATTTTTCATCACCATACTGCTCTAGCCTAACCAATAGCTATGTAACACGAAGGTGCTTCCAGCATTGACTCAGTTATGGGTATCGAATGGAGGTCGACTTCTCCAAAGCAATACCATTACCCCTTATGAACAGTTCCAACTTAACTGAGTAAAATCTCTGAAGTCATCAATAATCGCGACGACGAGAAACGACATAAATCAGCAGGGGACTGTCAAAAGCTATTCAGGCTGCGTAAATTGGATTTTCCGTATTGCAAATGTTCAGCGAAATAACTGTACGATCTCAAAGTCCACGATCTTCAAATATCATTTACCCAAAGTTTGGGATCATGTATTATACGATAGCTGAAAATGTACAAAAATCCAGCAAATCGTGAAGCCACATTTACCCGTGCTCTCCCTTGAGATGGCCGTGGGTGTAAATACACGGGAAGAAAATGAGAGCTAGATTGAGCATGTCCAAGTGAGAAATGTAATTGCGTTCAAAGAAGGAATATTGAATTGGAGCAAACAACAAACTTGTTACAGAGCAAGAATGCTACTCATGTACACTTATACTACAAAATAGTTGAAATCGTAACCAATGAAGACTATGGTGGATAGTCTGCAGTAAAATAAACAACAGTAGCACAAACAAAATCTACTACTACCATTACTACTACTACTACTACTCTTACTACTGCTATTACTACTACTACTACTACCACTACTATTACTACTACCACTACTACTAATACTACTACTACTACTACTACTACTACTACTACTACTACTACTACTACTACTACTACTACTACTACTACTACTGAAACTGTGGCGAGTGCATATACTACTCAATAAGTAGTTGATTGCTGGCAACGGAAATATGGACAGTTGGGGTTTACCAACGTCCGTATGCCCAAGTGACTATACGTAATAGGGTGAACAATGACAAGCAAAGCTCACGACTGCTTCTTCTTTGAATCGTAACTGTCTTCAAGTAGACGGAACGGCGACTTTGCAAGTGAACATGTTTGTAACTTTTCGTTCGTTTTGTTGATCTTCTCACCCAGGCAAGTCTCGTAGTTTGTAACAGTTCTCTGAATCCTGATGTCACTACTACTACCACCAATACTACTTCTACCACCACTGTTGTAATCCAGAAGACTTGCCCAGTCAGTAGGTTATCGATGGAGAACTCGTTTCAATGTCACTGTAATTACCGGACGCTGCGACAGTGTTCATTGGCATCCCTGCGACCCAGTCCACTTGAAGGCAGTCATTGTCCAGAAGGTGGAGCACTCGCGTGTTTTGCATGCCATTGTTCACCTCATTGTGTCCGGTCCCTTTGACATAGTCGCCTTCGATATGAATTTACAACTGTCCAGAATTGCGCCTTGAGCGGTAAACCTCCTCCTCTTCGCAACACTACTTCTACTATAACTACTACAATTACTACTACAACTACCACTACTAATACTAGCACTATTCCTATCACTTTCTACAATAACTCTGAGCTGGCATTTAGCTCAATTCCACTTATATTTCGGGGCAATACTTCAATGAATCAAGCACAAATGAGCTGGTCATTTGCATCAAAGATATATGGTGAACCATGATCCAGTATTTTTTCGTTTGGATTAAGCGATCACAGACTATTGCATTCTGTTTGTTTGATATATCTACCTTTCTTTTCTCTCTATAGTCCATAAATTTTGTTTCTGAGCAAAGATCTACTTATTCAAGTACGATATACTTCGTACACCAAAATCTTTCTCTAGCAAGAATATGCCCCGATCTTTGGGCCATCATCTACTTACCGGTGAGGTACTTTTTTCGAACCGCGGTAGATATCGATCCGAAACTTGTGTGGAGATCCCTAACACCGGGATCAATTATCACCCCGAAGTTCGACCGTTTTCTTTCTTAGGAAGCCCGTAAGCGTACATACCAAAAGAGGAAGGTCAGAACTTGACTAGGCCCATTCAAATGAGAAGAGTAATGCTTTTGCCAGAGAAAACAATGAACTGGTAAAGAAAAACAGTGATAGAAGGAAAATGTCAGAAAGAACAAGAATACCATTCATAAACAGCCATTTTGGGGAATATTTGTGATTATAATCGACAGAGACCGTGATGACTGATTTCCCGGAATAAAATTGGAAATCTGACCAACCGGTACTGGAATGTTTTGTACGATAAGCAAGCAAATTTACGCTTTCGTACAAAATACAAATACAGAGAAACGCCTAGCCAAGCAGCATTCGGATCGCAAGCTCACGAGTAGTCTTCATCAGTTACTCGAATGTTGTAAGGCACCGTATGTCGATCGAGTGTTCATAATCGATGAGCATGTTACGTAATCAAAGTCTGAAGTGGAGTCAATCATGTCGGACTTTGTCCTGGACGTAATTTATAATGCTGAATTAATCACAGAATCACCACATAGACCTCCATAGTTCAGCCGCGATAACTAGAATAAAAACAATAACCTCAACACCATATTAAATCGCAGTCGAGACTTCGTTCATTTTCATTTATGGTTTTGGACAAAACTACAATGAATGAATTAAAAACAAAATGACCTTGTGCATCATTGATACAAAGCGTACCAGGATACACTATTCTTTTGTTTGGAAAAAACAACCACACCGTTCGTAGTTATTGTCTCAAACGGTTGTGTTATGTTTGTGTGATATAACCACGTTCCTTTATTTATTCACAGTCCTTAATTTCTGCTTCCGAGCAATGATCTACATACTTACTTCGCCACACTGCTCCCTTAATAAAAATGGACCTTGTCTTTTGAACCACCTTTGATTCTTCAACTACGGAATTCATTATTGTGTTGGTTCATTCCAGCCATGCCGGTTCGTGCTGGTGTGATCATGAAGCTCACGACTAACCCGGTATCGTACTTCATTGCAACTGCATTAGGTGTCTGTAGTGACCAAATTTTGCGAAATACAAACAGAAGGCACGTGAACTGGCAATAGAAACTATTCATATATTAACGCCCAAAATATAACGTTTTCATAGGCATAAAATATATAATGGAATGCATGCATGCAGGCTTTGATCCATGAGCAATGTGATTGATGGACACTAACTTGTCAAACACTCTCACGTGATGTGGAAGTGGATCATGCATGCGAGACGCGCATGCTGCGATTACCAATATCCGGGGTTGCACTAGGATGAGTCATATGCACACGGTTCATTTGTTTGTATGCGGAAAGACCTGGGTACTGAATGGAGTGCACACTGACTAAATAACCACTAATTGGTATAAAAAAGGGTCTTCTCATGTTGCATATGAATGGGGTAAAATCACCACAGTATCCAACCGACACTGTGTGGAGATCCCGAACACATGGACCGATTCTCACACCGAAGTGTGCGGAAGATGGTCGATTCGGTCTGCCAAAAAATCACAAAATCGTACATCATCCTTCCTTCACCTATGGGAACTGCGCGTTGTGTCTTTCGGTTATTATTCAGAACACGTTCACCGTCGGTCTTCACCCTACCGACGGATTAACTAAGGAAACAACTACATTCGTATACCCCAGGAAAAATTCATTCTCATCAATAATCCGAAAATTAGCCGGGCTCATTCACCGAATACCGTTTCAATGGTGACTGGAACTGTCGACATATCTTTATGCTTCAAACATAACACAAAATGCTCATATAATTGAATTTTATGGGAGCCATACGATTGGTCTCCTTTGAATTAACGAAGTATAAACTGTATGCCATCACTTTCCACAAGGTTCTGTCACCTAGTATTAAATACTAACACATACGAGAAATTCACTTTCATTTACATGTGGTTCACATAAAGTTGAAGCTCTATCATCCACATTCAGAACGAAATAGAGAAGGAAGTATGATTTTCCATTCAAATGCACTTTACCAGCAATGCGAGGAACCTGATACGGTTTCCTGGTCCATCAATAAACCACCGTGAACTTGTGCGAGGAGGGTGCTAAGCGATTCCACATCACTGGATAAATAACCGTGAATTTGAATGCGTGCTCCCCATGAGTGATTGTATGATTCATAAGATAAGAACGGACATTCTGGAGAAAATATGTAAATATTCCCTTCGAGTGTGAAAGTTGCACGCACTTGAAGGAATGATTGGGATACTCAAGCTTGAATCGTCCCTCACGATAACAAATCATTACCAATAACAATGAATAGTCAAACACTATTCACTTTGGCTTCCGGGAATTTCGAGGTGTGTTTGTTCGAAGATAAAGATTTCAGTGAAAGATATACTTGTCAACCATCATTCAGGGGAGCAATCCAAAAATTTCCACGTTTAACAAATCCCTGATTTTGTTTTCTCAACAGCTTTATTCGAAATCCAAACGTTGAAATGTGAAACCACTAAGAATCACGACAAAATACTTCAAATTGATCGACGGTCTTCCCGATGGTTTTATCCGACAACGGTTGTGTGGGCTTTAGGACAAAACATGACAAACACATTCAAGAAAAGCCCTGAATGTTCATGGTTGCAACCGAAAGCTGCAATGATAAATGAGAGTAATCTTTCAATAGCCGTTTATGAACTCCTCTAATTGATAAATACTCAATGGAATCGAGGGGAAAGTCCGCCTGAAATCGAAAATCGCACAGTTTATTGTAAAGCGCAAATCCTGGACAAAACTCCCAAGCACATTTCCTATCAATCCATGCATCGAAATTCACTTCAACTTCTCCATGTACGATAGGAGTTGCCTTCTTGTAGAATTGCATTTCTTTATGGCTACCTCTAAAATGAATACAAAAAAACCATGTCTTTGAAGGTATTTCTAGAGAGATTATCGCTCTCCAGTAAACACTATATCACAGACATACAATCACACGGAGACTTCGCGAGTTAGTGGTATATCGATTATGAACATTGACGAACGGCCTTTGAAACACTGAAAATAGTGCTTCTTTTTTATATAATTTACTCCTAAACTCATTCTGTCTGCCGATTGATCGGGTGAATTTGAAAGATATTGTGTTCCTTTTTGAGGTCTAATGTAAAAGTGAATTTCCGTGAAGAAGGTGAACACTTTCTTCTGTACAAGGACTGCTTTCCCCTGTCCGAATCATGCTCATGTGGAAGTGGTTCGAGAATCACTTGATTTCGTACGACGATTAGTCATGCCTTTCCGAGATAGCTAGTGATCCGCTGTGAATGTTGATGATTCACTCAAAATTGTTGTAGATAATCGTTTTGCTTTTCAGTGGTATTGTGAATGATGGCCAATTCATGCAGAACATTTCAAAATGGTTCTCATTTAACCCATGTATTAAATTCTTCAATAAGTTGCAGATTCCAAACCCTATACATTTGATTTCAGGATTAGATTCTTCAATAGTGTAACTAAATTGTCATCATTAGTTTAATAGGTAGCGTTGAGATATTGCATTGGGAAATTGTCAGCGGTTAGGTTTAGCTCGCCAAACATTTTGGAGCATGCAAAAACAACTGCTTCGTTCAATGTTCCAACGAAATCCTAATCTGCTCCATTCGATTGTGGATGCCTCAATGGAGTCAACACTTGGCAAGAACCGCATGGTTCCACTCAATCGGTCAATATCTCGACTGGGGAATAAATTCCATTATCGGTAATGACTGCCCATGGAACGCCATCCCGACTGCAAGTCTTACTGAGAGAGACATAATAGTACAAGCATTAGATCGAGTGCTGAAGGAATAGACCTCTGGCCAACAAGAGCATGAATCAGTAATGGTCAATGTGCACAGTAAACCCGTTAGCCAGGCGCATATTGAAGATCATAACACTACCACTACCAACAGTACTTCCAATAAAACTACCACTAACACTATTACCGCTATTACTACTACTACTACTACTACTAATACTACCACTACTACTACTACTACTACTACTACTACTACTACTTCTAATACTATCATCACTTCTACCATTACCACTACCATGCTGCTGAATCTGGAACTAGTACTACACAAGTAATATTCAAACTATCATAACAACTGTTGAGGTCAGGACGAAAACCATGGGAACCAAATAAATAATCTAAGTGAGTTCATGGGGTTATTCATAAAGTTGAATGTGCGAAAATGCATTTTCGAAATCAAGTTTTAAGAGGAATTTAGAGTAATGAACCTGGTTTAAAATAGACTCTGACTGTAGAATTCAGCAAACTAACTGCTTCGGAACTTTGTTCAAGATAAAACTGTAGTTGCTGAAAACTCCAGGAAACATTCCACCCGTTTTCAATGGGATCACGATTGAAGTAGTCCAAGTTGAACAACTCGCGGATGTAGTTATCCCTCTGGAGACCAAAATATTTGAAGTTTTCTTACCTCGCCCACGTATTGTTCAGGGGAACTGTGCAAAAACCTGTGTAACAACACGTTTAGGATTTATTTGCAAATAACAAATCACATGAAAAATGTGTTCACCGCTCTGTTTTCGATGGAACTAGTAATTCCAAATGAAGGATGTACCGTTGCATGTGAAGAGCATGAACTCATAATTTGATACTGTCTGGTTGCAGACAGCCACCTCTTTTATTAGGACTCAGGTCAGAAGTGTTCACTTCTCCTGTTAAATTATGATGCCGCTATTTTCATGTCCTTCCTCTTGAAGGAAATGCTACATGTTTCCCAGTATAATCCTTTCATTCCTTCTGATTTTCTCCTTACCTGACACATTTTCTTATTTTACTCGATGAACGTCTGAGATACTGTTTGAGTCGATATCCATAATAATAATTGCTCTCTACCGCTAAAACAATGAACAACGAATATTCCTATCAAATATCTGAGTATTCTCGCTCACGTGTGGGAATGCGATCATTATTTGGATTGTTCGGATCTAACTTGTGACTGCAAGAAGCATTTCGGAGCTATAACTATGGCGTGACACCAGTCGGTCAGAACGTTGACGTCGAGGCTTTTTCCCTTCGGTCTCACGCCTGCTTTTCTCAGGACCTCATAGTCTACAGTATACTTGTTTGTGAGTTTCGTTGCAAGTGGCTCATAGATATATTCAATAATCGTTACGTTGCAAACGTTGGTGTTCCAGCTCCTTAGTAACTTATTTTACGTTTGGATGGGCCACACACCTCTACAACACTGACGGATATCGGTGTATACAAAATATAATATATGTTGCAGGGAATGTGAACTAGGGAGAAATCTAGATAGATGTCATTCTTTTCCTCGGTTAATCCAGGTGAAACTGCGGTAAGATCGAGTTCAGTCCAGACAACGGCTTCCAAGTGTTTGTGGGTGCTCCTATTATTCTTCAGCAAAATATAACTCAATGAGAACTTGTGGAAAGCAAGACGAATGGCACCTATGCTTGGATCATCTTTATACTGAAGTTGATCGCTCCTCTCAGATGCGGACCGTCTTATCCTGACTGATTCCGTCCGGTGTCATGGACTTCTAGCTATGGGGATGAGGGTGGAAGGTGGGTAATTAACGGAAGACAAATGAAAATTGGAAAACAGCACACCGAGAACTCATATTTGTAAGCCAGGACGCCAGTTTTTGTATTTGATACTAGTTTGAAACAGACCAATCAGAGAATTCTCTTCATACCACATAAGTAAGCAAGTTTTGTACACTGAGCAAGCAAACACTGAACGTGCACTTGAGACAGCCAAGCGAGGCCTTTCGATGAGTAGCGAGATGTGATTCGATGAATGGTGCAGTCAAATGTAGGATGTGCGCGTGTGAATAATCTTGATAGCAGATAAGTGTTAATCAATAGCTAGTGAGTAAATCAGATTATTCTGTTATTGATGCAAAAACCGATGAAGCCAGACATCACCAATTTTCTCCTCCAAAGTTACATTCACAAACAATAACGGATAACTGACTTCGAAGCTTGAGTTGACCATTTAGTTATTCGTCCCCTGATGTACCGGGTACAGACACCGGACTTCTCGTTTCATGATAATCAACAGGTTCCCGAGATTTTGTCACCTTGTTTGGCTGACTTTATTTGACTTTGCCTCCGTCTTCAGATAGATAAGTTCCAGGATGGCATACTTTAATAATGTTGCATGGTGGAGATAGTTTAGATAGAATTTCCTGGATAGTGTAGTTTTGTAAACACATGTTGCCCCCTGAGGTGAACACTGGGGCCTCCCTCCTGTATTTCCTTTGATTAGATGATAGCCACCGTTTGGACAAATCTATCGCCATGACGGGCAGCTGAGTCAAAGCATGCAGCTGAGTCTAGATTGGTAACCGAATATTGAATGTGAAGCTGTCTTATCAGTGACTGCGTATGGGATAGTTTTGAATGTAAACAGTGCTTTAATAACCGAGTCCTACCAAATACACCTTCTAGTTAGCTGGTTTAAATACCCTTCCTTATGGACAGGTAAGACTCTCGACTATGCCACTGGCAGTCCAGTCATACGGAACAGTTCGGCGGTGCATCTTCCTGTTAGAAACTCTTGACTGGTGAAATGAAGACCATCGTAGATTACAGCTTCCTCGACTAGCCCATTCCTGTTGAACATATACTCAGACTCTCGAATCCCGGGAGTTGTAGTCATGTCATCTCCTAACTAGGCTTCAGACGACTCGTTACAAAAGCACGTAGGTGCGAGCAGGTTTCGTTGTTGAATGGGTGCGTTTCTCAAGGGCCTTGTGATATTATTAGCAGTCTTGACTCATGGTCTCATGGGAACAACGTGAATATTGCCACGTGTTACACATCCATCAACAACAACAAGTCCATTAGTCGTAGAATAAAACACATACAACTCACATGGTACATAGTTACTTGAAGGTCAAAAATCATGGTGGTAATGCATTATCCACTGAATTGGAGAACATTTTGGTTTTTGATTCACAGATCATCTTCGATCACTATCCTGAATTAGTTTGCCTGTAGGGCAGATACTCTTATCCGATCATTTGTTTTATTTGCCAGATCAAATGCGTCTGAAGGTAGTCGTGAAAACGTTCAGCTGGCTAGTTTTGACATCCAGATCGATATATTATTAGAAGATCGCAATTCAGCGGTTTTATCCGTAATGGACGAGGACCCGTTGACCCAATAGAGCTGCCTTTGACTTAACAAAGTATTTCAACTCAGATTTCGATAGTTTAGGCAAAGTCCACCACACAATTGTTTCCTAACACCCCCTCCCTTGATGTGGTGAACGTTTTTCTCTGTTCAAAGCCCCAGGTGAATTAAACTTCAAATTTGGTGAGGGATCGTAACGGCCCATCGACTGAAGTGAACTGCGGCACCTTATATAAGTCACGGGTGCACATACAAGGGGAGATTTTCATTTGTTTGGCATAAGCACGATTTGGGTCATCAGTTATGACTCTTCAGATTTCCTGGCTCGGTTTGACAGGTCAAACTGGTATGATGTGCCCCAAAATCTGCACTTGTCCACAAACGAATGTGCATTTCCTATTATCAAGTCGGGGATTAAATGCTTGCAACGCACAAGTATCGTCGAGGTAAACCACAGTATCAAGCACACCATTAGGACCATGAACCATGAATACCTGTGAGGCTGAAAGAGCAGAACTTAGTCACATTTCGAGAAGCTTGTACTGAAATAAAACCTCTGAAGTCAGAGAAGTAGTAGGAATGTTTTCCGGGATACATCAAATCATCTTTCTCATGCTTACATTTCATGTGTTTTTTTGTTACAGCAGTGAGTTGAAGCACCGATATGCCAAACCTGGTCACCGTAAGTGGTTCGAACCAAAATAATCGGAGTAGAAATATGATAGGGTGATTAGCATTTCGTGCATGTTGTCGGGAGAGAGGGATACAGGTAATAGGAAGAAAGATTCTGCTCAGAGAATGCAGATTGTGCAACAGTTACGGTAGATGTGGAATTTAATTCCATTGGTAGCGAAATGTTAAAGTACCGCGTGTCAAGAATAATGCTGCGGACATCTAAACGCGGCAGTTTCGGTTCATCCACTTGTGACGCACATACTGAGTGGGCCCAAATACGACGAGTAAGGTGAAATACATGCTAATGATCCTGTTGTTGATCAGATAATCTGTCTGTCATGTATGGTTCGCTACAAATGATGGATGCATTCTGTAGTCTGCACACGGGAGTGAAGTGACCAAACTTGTCACAAATTTTCCGTTCCTCGGCACGAGCAGCACACAAGTGGTATTTTTGTTTCGCTACTTTTCTACACGGAGGACAATTTACTCTAGTTTTATGTCCAATCGAACGACGAAACTCTTCTAATTGATTAGAAATTTATACCTCCATACAGAGAAGCTTACAAGTTTTATCCAGCGATTATTTTCCAGCATCTCCAAAAATGCTTTCCGTATACGATAGTCATCGACTCCAGCAATGAATTGTTCAAAGAGCACGAAGCCTTCGATTAACTTCTGTGAATTGTTAAAATAGTCTTAATACCCTATTCTTACAAGGAAACGTAATACCTAATGCTTCAAGTATTTGCGGTTTCTCGAGACAAGCGCTAAAACCGGAATCTGGTTTGAAGATGGTTATCTCAGAAACGACAAGTGGATGAAAAGCCTCAGTGGCTGAATTTAGTGAGGGACTCGTGTACAGTTTCAAGTCATCAAATTTGTGTTGTCTTTCGTCTCCGACTGAGTGAAGGAATAGCTTCGGCTTTTCTTCTTCGTCAAGTTCGACTGATGAAGGGTTTACACAGTTGTTACAGCCAAAAATTGATTCGGGTAATTTCCTCCATAAATCAGGATACCAATGTAATCATACACAATCGAACTGCGAATGGGTTAGTGACGAATTCTCTGCCAATGGATGACATAAAATCGAGCGAATACTATTTCAAGTGCAACTTTACCCAAATTTATACGCAAGGTGCTTTAAAATTGACCAACATGATCAGTTTTTTTCACAATAGACGTGTCCATATTTGTTGGTATACCACCAACAATACCATAGCAGTACTTCGGTATCTTTATGCTGTCAATCTGTGCTAAAATGAAGCATTTTTGAAGCTTGAAATAGAAAATCTCGGCATCTATTATCGTTTCACGCAGATAATCCAACGTATTGTTTCGCCGGACGTTAGAATCTAACTGATGCTAACGTTTTCACTGATATGTATAAAAATTCGACACCACAAGGTTGGACACGCCTCAGGTGAACCCACTGTTCGGTCAAAACGGCGGGGGTGGCATGATTCCCTAACTCATGTTTGGAAGCCAGGACGCCAGTTGTTGTATTTGATACTAGTTTGAAACAGATCAAGCAGAAAATTCTCTTCATAACGCATGAGTAAGCAAGTTGTGAACACTGAGCATGCAAACACTGAACGTGCAATCGAGACAGCCAATCGGGTCCTTTTGGTAAGTAGTGAGATGTGATTCGATGAATGGTGCAGTCAAATGTGGGGTGTGTGCGTGTGATTATTCGTGATAGCGGATAAGTGGGGATCAACGGATAACGAGTAAATCAGATGAGGTTTAGTCTTTCTATTGATGCAAAAGCTGCTGAAACCAGGCAACACTTCCCTTGCGCATCGAAGTGAATAAGTATTGAAATCGTCTTCATCAATTGAACAAGCTACATCCAATTCCGCTACCAGATGCTACAAAGGAATTTAGATAAGAGTTTTACCAACAAAGAACACATGACAAATACGAGAAAACGATCACAGCTGAAACGAAACAGAAACAAGTCGAGCGCTTGTTGGCTGCGAAAACTCAAATGTGTGGTCAAGCTTGAGGTAATAGAAACCTCGTGCCCACCGAGTTCCATATAGTGTATGCAAGTGTATTGTATGCAAATTCCAGTATCAGAACAGATGGTGGAGAGAATAAGCCCAAAATACTGGTAGGAAAATGTTCAACTTTTGCGAACGATCAAACTCATCACAGTCTTTGATTATAGACTGCACTAAAGTGTTCTCAGCTTTGCTAGGATGACGTTGGCAATAACAGGCAGCATATACTACGGAGGGAATCCATCTCTGTAGATAAATAGGCGAGCGAGTTATCTGTGAAATGCTGTGCGACACATACAATAGGAATGACAATCCTGACTTAGAATAAAGCATTTACAACAACCGAATTTGAAGTACAATTTGGAAGTACTTATCTAGGAAACTGGAAGGTTATTGGTATCGAATGTAATTAGTTTTGTAAAACAAGCAAAGTTGATGAACAGTGTGGAAAAAATACCTTGAACATCCATGGGAGACCTAATCTGGCAACCTGTTACCTAAATGCTTGTTAGTTGGCAAATCAATGTTGAATGCACAAAGCAGGATAGGTAGTCAGACGCAGCTTGCACACTACTCACCAACATGTGTCTATGAAAGTTGAAAATAGATGAAACGAATTAACAAACTCAACCGATATTTCTGGTGGATCAAGGGTTCCACGTTTCACACCAACGCTAAACGAAGACTGTGTAGGAACACACCTATAAGTGGTTTGAAATATATAGGTAGCTAGTCACGGGTAAGTGAGATAAAGCCAGCAGTCCAAATATGTAGCCAAGAAGAGTGCCAACTGAATTTGCTCTCATTTCATCTTCAATAGTAAAAGGTTTATTCGATTTAATTTCAGTGCATAAAATCTTCATTGATTAGGAGTTAATATGGTATGCGTTAAGTGGATCTCACAATGTTCCAGATTATCTTGTTTTATTAATTATTTTCTTTATTTATCTCCAATAATTGGTTGCCGCCATCTAGATCTGAATATATTGGTAATTGTCAGAATCTTGTGACTGTTTTCATTTGCATTCGCTTTCTGCCAATACTCCATATCAGTTGGTAAGTTAATGAACTAGTAGGCATATCGTGTTACTCACTCGGTACACTCGCGAACCGCGTTTCTCGACCTGCAGCTGATTCTTCCTCCATTGAATACGCGTCGAGATAGGATTCATAGCTCGAAAGTAAAGATCATCCACCCTTCAGTCTGTGAGTGTAAAAATGCTGTCTAGTCTTTTATCGCAATCGACCATCGATCTGTGGCACTAGTAGACACATTTAGTCAGAC